TTGTTGCCGGCATCGGGGCAGGTGGGCCCCAGCCGCTGCAAAGGGAGAGGATAGAGATGCCAGAGCCAGGATTTTGAGGTATCCAGACCCCTCCCAGGCTGGTTGTCCCCAGCAGACGCCAGCCCCTGGTGCCCACCTACCTCCAGGGCTGCCCGGCACTGCCCCAGCTCCTCCTGGATGTTTTCCTCCGCCGCATCCCGCGCCCGTTTCTCCACCTGCACCCGTTGCTGCAGGGTGAAGACGTCGCAGCGAAAAGCCAGGGCGAGGTGGGCGAAGGCTGCCTGCGGGGCGAGAGGTGGGACACGGCGAAGGGGAGGTCACCAGGGCCACGCACTGATGTCCCCAAGGCACTGACATGCCACCGGTGCTAAGGGTAATTAGCCTAATTACCCATTAGGCTGCTGCGTGCTGGGGACAGTCTCCATGAGATACCAGCCTGACCCAGCCATGCGTCCCCAGCAGCCGAAAACGCTTGGAAATCCCAAACCCCCCTGGCAAAAGCACGCGTGGGGCAGGCGCCAGCCCTCGCTGCAGGTCCCGGCTGTCAGCAGAGCCTGACTCAGCCCTGGCACTGGCAGGAAAATGGTTTTTATTATCACGGCATCCACCACCCACCCCAGCCAAGGGCGCTCCGGGCGAGCTGCAGAGCACTTTGTGGGATTGCCGTGGAGATGCAGCTGCCTCCCAGTGCCAACGGCATCGCCGGGAATGGGATTTGTAAGGCGGCTGCCAGGGGACTGCGGTGCCTGGAGGGTGGCCAGGAGCAGGGACAGCCCTGGGATGCCATTGAGGTGTCCATCCCTCCGTACCCCTCCCCAGCCCACCTGCAGCCCTCACCTCCACGTCCTGCTCCGTCAAAGCCACCCTGCAAAAACAAGAGATGATTTTAGGTGAAGGGATGCTGAAAATGCCCTTGGTCTGCTCCAGAAGTGGGGACCCAAGTGCCCCCTGCCTGGAGAGCGGCTCTTGTGCAGGGGAAAAGGAGGAAAGTCCAAACCCCAACAATGTGGTGCCAGGGACCCCCCTGTCCCATAGCCCCCGGAGGGATGCGGGTGCTCACTGGTCCTACCTGTGCAAGCCCAGTCTCTCCAGCACCGAGAGCTCACTGGGGAAACTCAGCAGTGGCTCCTCAGGGGTTTCTGCATCTGCAGGGGAACAGGGACACCATGGGAGAGACCCCGTGTGAAGGTTTTGGTGTGGCCTTTCCTCCTCCCCTTACCCTTCTGTCCCAGCTGGGAGCAGATGCTCATGGTGTGGGACCATCCCAGTCCCTCCCCCAGCATCAGTGGGGATTTGGGTCCCCCCTGGTCAGTGCCCCCATCCCCATGTCCCCCCCAAAAGGAGCAAACCCTGGCCACGCTGTCCCCACGCTTGTTCCCAGCCACTCCAAGCCTTCCCCTAAGGGGACCCAACTGGGACCTCACCCACCTTCCTCTGTCCTGTCACTGTCCCCACTCTGCAGTGACAGCTCCTGCCCCTCCGTGCCAGGCACCTGGGGGGCACAAGAGCACTTTTAGGGTAAATCCCTCCCTGGTGCTGGATGACATCCCAAAAAAAGGGGTCCAGCTGGGAAGGGTCCCCCCAGCCTGTCGCCATCCCCTCCCTCTCACCTCGCCGACCCGCTCC